CAAGGATGAAAAAGCTGTGTTGTTTTCCAAAATCGATCCAGTGGAGGCAGTGATGAATGCCAGAAACGAAAAAAAGAAAAAACAAAAAACGTCGAATATCCGTTTTTTTTTTAAGTATCGTAGGATCCCGATCATTTTTTGAAAAAGGGGTAATAAGTTGAGGGATGGAGGAAGCTATATCTCAATTTTTCTAGAGTGGTATACTTATACGCCCCCAACCGAGGTAATTCTACGTACACTTTTAGACACATTTCACGCATCATAGATTTCTCAGTACATGGTGCTTTTTTATGTCTAAAGTGTTCGTTCACTGGGCTTCTATAAAAAAACAGCAATGGCATGTTTGACCTTGCTAAAAGTGAGCTATGCTAATCGGATTGATGAAGCCCGGCACTTGATATTTGCACATCCAATATTTCTTTTGGTGTGGCTTTCCTGTCTGATCTAAGAAGAGAGGAAAAACCGGACTATGTAATGTTTGCTCTATGTCATCAAGCCACTTCTTCAAGAACACATTCAATATTAGCGCAATTTCCATTACAAGTTTTATGTACAGAAAAGTATACATCTACGCATCCTTTTCAACAGCCGAAAGTCGTTGATCTCATCCTTGGAAATACCTTTTTGAAGCCGCAAGTTGTTTACTCAAAAGTCTGCAAAAGCTCAAAAATTGAAAAAGAAACTCAATAGTTGCCGGGAACATTGGCTACTATGCAATATTATATTGTATAGTTACATTTTTGGTGTCTCGGCTATACAGGGTGTTTCGTGTTGTCTTGTCTTATTGTAAATATTTGAGGAGAAGGTTCTTGGGTTCATTTTAAGAAGAACATGGGTGGTAAGATCTTAAAAAATTGATCACTTGGCACCCAGCTTACTTTTCTCAAAAGAAAAAAATATTACGCCAATTATTTATTAGGAGGTCGTGGTTAGCTTCTCAATGCGGTCTGTCGGTTTGTTAACATCGTCGTCGACGTTAAAATTATAAACTGTCATATTTTTTTTGTTTTGTTAATTGTCGATTTCTTACGCAATCTGAGTCATTTTGGCCAGTTTAAATTCCTTTTTACCCAAAAATTATAAAAGTTATTGGAAAGTTATCTGATATCCATATTATAACTTTAAGTCAAATTAGATATGAAAAAGCAGCATATTTATTATCCCTCCATCGACAAAATGATTCAAAAATGTTTTATAGATCCTTAAAAATAATGCGTATCCAACAGTTACAAAATACCGATATTTCTCTACATTTAAAGAAACCTACTGACATTAATAACTATACTAAGTGACATATAAATCCGAACACCCAGTTTAAATGGTTTTATTTTAATAAAAGTTGGTGAATGTATTGATCTTACTGTAAATAACAAGTGAAAAAATGTTCAGCCTTATCAGTTGGACATTCCGGTTTTTATACTGCTTTTTTTTTAATTCACTAACGCTCTTAAAACGAATATTTCAGCCGCAGTAAAGAATCAACGTTGGCGGATTTTGGTTCTTGACATCCTTTACGATCGGTTACGATGCCTAGAGTACGAAGACCTGTACGATTTCGTCAACATAGTGAGTTTGATAGGGGCCGTATAGTGGGACTTCGGGAAGCTGGACTTTCTTTTCGGGCAATTGCAGTTAGAGTGCAAAGAAGTGTAGACGCTGTGGTTAGGTGTTGTCAGGCATGGCTTCGAGAAGGCCGTACGCAAAGAGCAAGGGGCACTGGACGCCGCCGTAGAACAACAGACCGTGAAGATCGCCGCCTAAGTAAACACGGCTCGATAGATGTTCGAAATTGTAGGTATACTTATGTGCAGGTTCCGCTATAATTGATAATACAACACACTTCATTAAATCCACATGCTCAGCCGGTTATACAGTCAACTCATGAACTAGCAAAAATTCGTCGTGACGTCGTGAGATATGCAGAAAAGGCAGAAGCCGTCGGGCTATGTTTGTGCGAACAAGGCTGTCAGAAAATATGAATAATGATAACCTCTCACGTGACATGAATGCGATACATTTCGTCATGCACAGATTAGTATTCGACAAAAGTTATTAAAAATGAAAGTGTCGTCTCGATTATACAGGGGAGTTCAAAAAATAATGCCAGTACTTTTTCTAGAGCAGAGTTCCCCAAACTTTTTTATGTCGTACACCCCTTGCCATGTTTTCCCGTGTTGGGTAGACCTCCTACTTACCTGATTTTGATTTCCTGTAAATTTTTAACTGTAGGGAAGTCTAGTGTTAAAAAATTAAAGTAAAAACACATGTTAATTTATACATTTATTAATTGAATTTAAATTAAAACTACTCAAAATAAAATTTTGTATCTGTTATGTAACATATACGTAACATTAAATAAACAGTTGTCTGACCAATAAGTGCCCGCATTGGGAATAAGTGCCCTCATTGAAAAAAAAAATAAGAGAGATAAAATAAAAAAAAGTGAAAAATAATAAAAAAAAAAGTATTTTACTTAATATAGTACAATAAGCGAGTTCGTTTATTAATTATATTATAAACGTATGTTCTACAATAATTTCACTGTTAGTTTGATTAAATTCCGCTTCTTATACGTTTAAGTTATCTAAAAATAGGCAAAAACTTAACGAATTTTAGTGTGTACCTATCCTTGAATTTTCAGAATAATTTTAAAAAAAATATTTTCTATAAAGGGGGATTTTTTAAAAAACTCAATGCGGGCACTTATTCCCAATGCGGGCATTATTGGTCAGGCACCAATAAACATAAAATAAACTATAAATAAAATAACATAAGCAATAAGTCAATATTTTTAGCGAGAAGGATGAACCTGATGCTTTAATAATAAATTATCAACATTTGGCGTCAATTTTGTAAGGGTTAATCTTGAATCTCCTCGGCTAATGATGTCCAGTCTGTTTTTTTTTTTTTCGTTAGGAGATTGGTAACAGCGCTGAACCCCCTTTCCACTAGGTATGACGATGGAAAGGAAATTAAAAATTTCCTCGCTATACGTAGTCATGCCATAAGTTCTGTCCCTCGTTTTCAAACAAGTGTAGACCTGTTAATACTTGTCCGATTGTTTACATTGTGGTGTCAGTTGATTAAGCGCTTTTCGGGTAATTACATATACCTCAGTTTGTATTGATCTCTCGAAGCATAACGATGGAGTGGGGCAAGGCAGAGAACCGTATTGCAGTGATAGCTTTACATAAGTGTAATCACAGTGCTAGTCAGATTTTTGAACTCTTACGCGGCCTTCAAATATCGCGTAAATTTGTGTCTAGGACCATTCAGCGGTACAATGAGACGTCCTCTGTTGATGACAGGCCAAGAAGCGGAAGACCTCGTCAAGTAAGGACTCCAGCAGCCATCAAAGCCGTAAAAGCCAGGATTCAAAGGAATCCACTCCGGAAGCAGAAGATCCTATCCAGGGAAATGAAGATTCCTGTCCGGACGATGTCGCGCATCATTAAACAAGACCTAGGGCTAGGGGCTTACCGGAGACGTACGGGCCAGCGACTTACGGCCACCTTGCGACACATCAGGGCGACAAGATCCAAGAAGCTCTTGGAGAGGTACGCAGCTGGGGGATTCCGAAAGATTTTGTTCACGGATGAGAAAATCTTCACCATAGAAGAAAAATTCAACCGACAAAATGACAAAGTGTATGCAAGGAGTTCACAGGAAGCTTCGGAGATCATTCCGAGAGTTGAGAGAGGCCACCACCCTGCGTCAGTCATGGTTTGGTGGGGGGTGTCCTACGAAGGGGTCACTCAGCTCCATTTCAGTAAACAGGGCGTGAAAACAAAAGCGGCAAACTATCAGAGCGACATACTGGATCCTATCGTCAAGCCTTTAAGTGGTACATTGTTTGCCAATCAACACTGGGTCTACCAGCAGGATTCCGCCCCCGCTCACAAGGCTAAGAGTACGCAGCGCTGGCTGGAAAGCAATGTGCCAGAGTTCATTGCTGCGGAAGATTGGCCCTCAGGGAGTCCGGACCTCAATCCTTTAGACTACAAGTTGTGGGACCTGCTAGAGCAGTTGGCCTGCTCCAAAGCCCACCGTAATATCGAGTCCCTGAAAGCGGATTTGATCCGATCAGCGGCAGCTATTCCTTTGGAAGCTGTGCGTGCAGTGATAGATGAGTGGCCCGCGAGATTGAAGCAGTGTGTGAAGGCCAAGGGGGGACATTTTGAATAAAACTGTTTGATTATGAATTCTAAAAATGTTGTCGAATAAATAATATCTTTCATATAAATATATCTTATCTTGTTTCATTTTTATCATGAGATTATCATGGGACAGAACTTATGGCACGACTATGTATTCCATAATACGGGATAAGTAACGGGTATGTTGTTTTGCAGCCAGAATTGCTTATATCCGTTTTTAAACTGAACCTTAAGTTCTTCGTTTGTACTTAGTTCAGTCAGTTCCTCTTGTATTATGACATTCGTTTCTTCTATGTCACCATATGGATTAATTATCCACGGTGGTATTACCATAGTCAAAATATCCTCAAACCTAGATTCAAAATCTGAATAGAGGGCATTTAAATGTTGAACGTAAGTTGAAACGTCATCTTCCTGGCAGCTTGTCTGTGACAAATTGGGGATCCGAGAAAATTCGCCCCGTCCAATATTTTGCATCATTAGTTCAACTCTGGCAAGAAACGCTGATATGATGGACTTTGTTTTAATCAAATTTAAACTGTCGCCTTGTAATTGCAAATTAACCATATTAAATTTTGTATACAAATCTGTTAAATAGGCGATGTCTGTTTTCCTCTTCATTAAATTTTCTTTTAAAATTTTATCTTTAGTATCCAGAAATTTTAAAATAGTCTCAAAAAGTACAAAAAATCTTGTCAAACATAAGCGTTTCAACAGCCAGCGTACTTCAGTGTGAAGGAGTAATTGATGAAAGTGTATTTAACGCGTTGCTTCGGATTCGGTTTACTGCATCAATGACTAAATGAAGTGATTCATGCAATCTAACACTCAAATTTTTATCAACTAAATGTTGTCGATGGATACGCAATGTATTGCTAACACCCCTGACACATTTTGTTTTAAATAGCTTATAAATCCACGATAACGTCCAACCATGGCAGGTGCTCCATCTGCAGCTACTGATATTATATTTGATAAAGGAATTGCTTTTTCAATGAAGTAATCCTTCAAAACATGAAATACTGATTCACCTTTAGTGTCGGTTATCAAAGTTCTTGCGAAGAGCAGTTCTTCGTAGATTTCTTGATTCATAATAAAACGAACATATGCCAATAATAATGCTGCATTATCAGGTAAAGTTGACTCGTCCAGTTGTATAGAGAAATGGGTCGTTTGCAAATAATTACATAAGAAGCTTTCAATATCAGAACTCATTTCATCAATACGTCTTTCAACAGTATTGTTGCTTAAGAGAATTCTTTTAATGATATCAGATGCAGGTTAGTGTAAAACAGTTTTTAAAACCTCTTCAACGGCTGGAAAAATTAACTTCTCTCCGATAGTATGCGGTTTTCCGGATTTTGCTATAAGTAACGAGATATTGTAAGACGCCCGCAAACCATCATCATTTCTTTGTGACGTCGAAGCGAACATTCTGTCCAGTGTAGGTCTCTTCGAAAATTTATCTTTGAGTGTTTGAAAGTATTTCAAATCTTTCTCTGTTTTATCAGGGTGGCATCTTCTCAGATGATCTTGCAGTTTAGATGGTTTCATAGCGTCATTGCCCAAAACTTTGTTGCATAAAAGGCACATAGGCGATTGTTGGTCCGGCAATGATGGAATGAAGCCAAATTTCAAATAATCAACACTGTACTGTCTACATTTCTTTTTAGATTCGGACATGGCATCAGTCATCTGTGGGCAAAATTAAATTATTTAAATAAGACAGAAAATCCAGCAGCTGTATATTAAAAATATTTTTGATTTTTCCGAAAACATTCCATAATTCGAACATTTTCTTGCAACAATTAGCTCGAATTACTGAGATTGCACTATAATTATATTACCGATTGCTAAAACTTTCAAAAAGAAGCTATTGAGGAGTACTCGTGTAATTTTGCATGATTGAATATTTAACTACTAATAACTAAAGTCATGATTGGCGTAATTTATCTATCTTTGCTAACTACGAGTACAAAACTAAAATTTAATAAAAAATAATGTACTTACTTTCCTCCAGCACTCTCAAATAAAATAACACTGATTCACTATAATTTGTGTGATAGACTATCTGTTTATATTTTTTAAAATATTTTCTTAGCACTTTCCTTTTCAAGATTCAGGAAACGAATAAACGTATTTGTCCCACATTCGTATTTATAGAGTGACGAATTGAACAAGTCAGTGCAAGGTAGCGAAGCTCTGACACTGCGACTCTCAGGTTTTTACAAGTTCAAAATGTATTGCGACCACAAAGCGAATACCAACATCCTACAACTTACTCAATTTTATAAACATATATAATACATTTTTCACTTCATAGGTACTTTTATAAATAATGTACGAGTATATGTTTTGATATTATAAGATAGTATGGTGTAAGTAAATAGGTACTATCAGTGTATGTGTTGAGATCCACTATCGTGGACCCCCATATTCATTTCATGCACCCCCAAATTTTTTTTCGCTGACGTAGACCCCTTGCAGGTTGTCATAAACCAATAGGGGTCGATATAGACCACTTTGGGAATCAATGTTCTAGAGTATATTCCAAGTGCGTGGGGGTCATAAGTGACCTCGGCAACTTTCACTTTATTTTTCGTTAAATTTTATATTCCCACGTTTTTGCTTAATTTAGATTGAACTGCTATATTTGGGGAAGCACGTTTTGGCGGAGAGAAATTCAAAAAAATTAGACGCAAAGAAATTTATTTTTGAGAAGCGTACCCGAATCAAAACGGAGGAGGGGCATCACCAAAAAAATGATTGCTGTAAGTTCTATAAATCATATCTGCATAACCATGCTTGATATTTGCATTTCATTTATACAGGGTGATATGCGAATATTTAAGGGTTAATATTCTTTTATAATGATAAATATCTAAGAAATATAAGATTACAAATAAAGCGTGGGAAATAAAAACACGTCTACCACACAGAGTTACTAGTGCATATACGTATTATAGGTATTATTGATTATACTATCTGCTTATGCGTGTTTCGAGAATATGATATAAATCGCATCGGTATAAATAGCATAACTGTTCGTAAGCATAAGGTGCCATAGGTTCGGGAAGTCAATCTGATACCAGAAATATGCTCGTGCTTCAAAACTGCAAATACAATATTACAACAAGGGCTCTGAATCTGACGAAACTACATGCAGTTGTTAAGTTAGTTCTGTCTCTAACCAGCCTACTCTATGGTATTTATGGAAGAGGTAAGTAATGCTGCACGAAGTCTATTGAGTATCATTTATTCCAAAAACTATTTTTACAAGAATGATGATCAGAAAAGTAATTTATTGCCGACGTCTAAGATGATATACGGGTAGGCAAAGAGGCTACGGGTCATTTGGAGGTCAACTTTGTAAATACACCCAGCATCCCAAGGCCATCCAAGAAAAGGGTTAAAGGGACAGCCCCCGTGGTATTTACAAATGAAAAGAAATTTAATAAAAACTTTTTATTTGCAAAAGCTATTTGTAAGTGTGTTTAGCAGAATATATGCAGTTTTATTTCCTATTTCCTACAGGCCAAACGGCATGAATTTTGACATATGAAGAGTCGTTGGATTCGTGCAAATGACATTGGCTCATACTACAATATTAAAAAACAAATTGGCGGATTTTAATAAAAATCTAAGCCTTTTTTTAGAAAAAACGATATTTAGATAAGATGTCAAAATTTCCGACGATCTACATATACTAAGTGACATATAAATCCGAACACCCAGTTTAAATGGTTTTATTTTAATAAAATTTTGTATAAGTACTTAATGAAGCATAATAAGTAAATGATAAAAATTTCAAAATAATTGCACTGCTTTAAAGCTCTTTGACTTTTAATAATGTGTGGATGCACCCTGATGTGCTACGCATTCTCCAACGCGCCTAGGCATGCTTCTGATCAGGTGGTCCAATGTCCTCCTGTGGTATCTCATTCCAGGCAACCACCAACTCCTCTCGAAGTGCTTCTAGAGTCTGAGGAGGACGTTGCAAATTAAGCAATCTCCTACCCATCATATCCCACACGTGCTCAATTGGGGATAAGTCGGGAGATCTTGGTGGCCATGGTAACAATGCGACATCATTATGTTGGAAGAAGTGACTCTTGCAACATGTGGTCGGGCATTACCTTGTTGGAAAGTTGGATCTGCCAGGGTGTCAAGATAGGGTAAAAGCTGGGGTTCTAGAACTTCGTGGATATAACGCTGCGCGTTCATGTTACCTCTGATGAAGATTAAAGGTGACCTGGAACCATAAGCTATAGCACCCCAAACCATAACTCCAACAGTGTGATGAACATGTCTTTCAACAAAAAACTTTCACCACGTCGCCTTCTAACCCTAGCACGACCATCGTGCATGCCTAAACAAAATCGAGACTGGTCACTAAAGACAATACTGTTCCATTCCTGATCCCAGAGTGACCGTTGTCTGCACCACTCAAGGCGACTACGTCGGTGTTCTCGAGTTAAAGGGAGGACCCAGTGTGGCCGGTATGAAAACAAGCCAAAACTTCTCATTCGTCGGTAAACACTTCGCATGCCAATAGGTCTTCCGTGTTCTGCAAACCATTCATTTGCAATGGACCTGGTAGTGGAGAAACGGTCCCTTAAGGCCAATAATCTTAGGCGGCGATCTTCACGGTCTGTTGTTCTACGGCGGCGTCCAGTGCCCCTTGCTCTTTGCGTACGGCCTTCTCGAAGCCATGCCTGACAACACCTAACCACAGTGTCTACACTTCTTTGCACTCTAACTGCAATTGCCCGAAAAGAAAGTCCAGCTTCCCGAAGTCCCACTATACGGCCCCTATCAAACTCACTAAGTTGACGAAATCGTACAGGTCTCCGTACTCTAGGCATCGTAACCGATCGTAAAGGATGTCAAGAACCAAAATCCCCAACGTTGATTCTTTACTGCGGCTGAAATATTCATTTTTAGAGCGTTAGTGAATTCCAACAAGATAATGCCCGACCACATGTTGCAAGAGTCACAATAGACTTCTTTCAACATAATGATGTCACATTGTTATCATGGCCACCAAGATCTCCCGACTTATCCCCAATTGAGCACGTGTGGGATATGATGGGTAGGAGATTGCTCAATTTGCAACGTCCTCCTCAGACTCTAGAAGCACTTCGAGAGGAGTTGTGGTTGCCTGGAATGAGATACAACAGGAGGACATTGACCACCTGATCAGAAGCATGCCTAGGCGCGTTGGACAGTGCGTAGCACATCAGGGTGCATCCACACATTATTAAAGGTCAAAGGGCTTTAAAGCAGTGCAATCATTTTGAAATTTTTATCATTTACTTATTATGCTTCATTAAGTACTTATACAAAATTTTATTAAAATTAAACCATTTAAACTGGGTGTTCGGATTTATATGTCACTCTTAGTATACATACCCAGACCATGGACTAAAAAAATGTGTATTTTCAGGGACGTTCAGATCTATTGACCATAGGACTGATACTATATGTGTATGAATTCATTGCTGTTCAATTTGTGTTTCAATACTTTTTCAACGAATTGGTGCTGTGGAACGGTTTACCCTCAGGGCTGGGCGCCATCTTCCTTTCTCTGCCGGTCACCAGTATGTATTTTTATTACATGTTTTTATTGACAAGATCTGTCGCAAAATAAACAGGACAAAGAAAAAATAACAAACATTTTTTGTTTCGGAAAATCGCATCTATTTTAATCATCGACGTTTTCTGGCATAATCACGAATGTTGGCTGGCCAGATGTTCGTCGTCTTTCAGCGACTCTCGTCCGTCTTTGAACCGCGTACGCCACTCGTCGACTCGACTACGAGATAGACAAACATCGCACGACAATTCGGTTAAAGTTTTACCAAGTTTAACACAGAACTTAATATTGACTCTTGTCACCTTAAGCGCGATAACTCCGCGTGAGGTTCGATTGTCACATTTTTACAGGCTATTAATGAATGATGTATACTTTATCTGAAGTCACTTGAAACACTGTGAAATACCGGGTGCGTTTTATATATCTATATTTAACACGCTCTGTTGCTGCAAAAATCGCCAAATTTCGCAGCAAATATCCCCCGTATAAGATCAAAGGCAGTTTCACCGGTCCACGTGGAGTAAAGCACGCCTATGCGTGGACATAGCCAATGAGAAAGCGTGTATTTCAGAGCTCCGAACAAGTGGAGGTGGCTACTGAAAATTGAAACAGTTTAGCCAGTGCCGTGTAGCGGTGAATAAACGTGTTTTCTTTAGTCTGTCCGTGTTTTTTCATAGATTTTATTAGTTTGTGTGTTTTTGACTTTTGAATACTCAGTTTACTTGTTGATTTAGTTGTTGTGTTGATTGTTCTTGTGTGTCCTAAATATGGCTCTTTGGAGACCTTGGGAAAATGCTCCAAGCCACGAGGAGATGGTTGATGAACCTGTGCAGGCAGAATTCTTTCATAAAGATTTAGAGGAACAGACCCAAAGAGTAATCCTAAATATGAATGATTGTCTGGAAAACGAAAATCCAGATTCCTCGCAAAATCAAATTTTAAACAGAATTTGTATCCT